ATATATATATATATATATATATATATATATATATATATATATATATATATATATATATATATATATATATATATATATATATATATTGGCAGATGGGTGAATCGAAGCACCACTTTAATTCAGAGGTGTCGGAGCGGCACCAAAAGTGGGGAAACACTTAGCGCCTGTCGAAGTCGGGTGACATTCTAGGGGGACCCAGGGGGAATGCCCCCAGGAAAAAAATTAAAACTAGAGTCTCTGAAATGTTATTTCCTGCAAATTAGAACGAAATTTACATAGTTCTGAAACGTAACAAAATGTCATAAAATATCTCATGACAAATTGTTTTGTCTACACGCGTAACTGAAATAGTATCAATTAACTTTGTGGTTTATTATTGACCATTGTTAAAAAATGGGAGGGGGCTAAAGATGTTTAGCGCCCTCCTCCTAAAAAGCCACCCGGCTTTAATTTAAGAAATGGAAACGTCGGACATGATGTAGAAAGCTTAGAATGAAAAATGAAGCAAAACGAGACGAGTTTGAATAATACACCCTTTCGATAATTACGTCATTTGGTTAAGTTATTTGGCCTAATTTAAACTAAGAATCCTTACGTAGTAGTTTTTTCTCCTTTAACATGAAGATTAAGTTTGAACAGAAATGTAGCATGGCAAATATTTTAAAAATAATTTAAAAATCAAAATTTGAGACGTCCTAACTTTTCATAAAAACGACAAGATTTTCGTGGTCAACCTTTGCCAGAGTTTGTCCGTTTAGAACAAAAACAATCTGAGAATTAAAATTTGTATAGAAATTAACAAATCGTTTTTCTCACTTATACATTGACCAGTCACAGTACGAATTTGTCGTGGACTGTTACAATAACAACGGTATTTTCCTGGGTAGTTGACACAACGTTGACCACCACCACAGCGTGTGGAAGATGAACACTCATTCACATCAGCTACAAAAGAGAACGCATTATAGTTAATATGACAGAATGTACAGCTTAAGATTTTTCAAGGATATTTTAGGAAAATATATATAAGTTTTGGAAACGTAACCCCCGGAGCAAAAGATTCCGGATTTATCACAAATCTGAAAACTTTTAGGACTGGATTCGTGTTGCAGTTTACAAACGAAGCAAAAAATACCATTGAAAATCATCTCGGTCACTCCAGATTTTGACCAGTATTATTCAATAATAGTACAAAACCAATATATGAACAAGAAGGAACGTCTTGGCCAGTCAATTCGAGTATTTGTGCATAAATGGTACATTCAAATATTGTGCACTCGAAAAGCATTCAAGGCAAAAGTTTTGCAAATTTCATATCCATCAAAACTGAAACAAATCCTTTAGCGCCACCAATTGTTGTATCAAAGTGTTTGACTATTATGTAAATTTATCCCGGCAACCAAACAGACAACTTATATAGAAACTTAATTAAAACAGGCGTAAGTAAAATGACTTTCCCAGAAGTTCCTCTCTATGGAATCCTGTTGAGTTTTAGTTTTTCTTCACAAGTGAAGATTATATAGTTGTCCCTATTCAGACTTCTTTCGAGATCGACCTAGCTAACTATTGTAATCACTGTCATCCCCCAAAAAACATACCAACATCAGCAGCTGGAAGTGGCACATTATTTATCACCAGAACATATCTAACTCTCAATGTCAACTTTTGAACGCCGCCTACTGAAGAAGATACCAATCCAGCACGGAATTGTCTTCCAAGGTTGTCATTATCGATTTCAACTTGTGTTAAGGTTGGCAGGAAATATATATTTAATGAAACCATTGTTGCAGAATTCGTTCTAGAACTAGAAAATTAGAAAAAGGTTCATTACATTAACCTGTTTGAAGCGAAATAACACAGGGGAAATCGTAATATATTCTATCAACAATTTGAAACAAAATAGTTGACTGTCTAATATGTTTATAAAACATGTTATATATGTTATAGTAAATTAAGGTTTTAGCAAAAGCGCGTCTTGTTTGACACGAGAGTATTGTATCCGAGGCTACCCCAACAAATACTAGCAATGTTTTCCTTAGTTAATATCCATTAGTGTCACGTATACATCCACTTTTTGGATTGCGGGAGGGGGGAATTTATCATTACCCGCCATTTGCCATGCCTGATAAATAATTATTCAGCGTCAGTTTTGTACTTTCGCATAATTTATTAAATGTATGAAAACTCAAAATGTAAAATACTCTAAGAGTGGGATGACACATAAATGCAAGTCACCTACTGACCCCGTCAGTAACTTAGTAGAAACTGACAGTCATATATTAACGGCTAATAATATTAGCTGAAGCTTCTTAGACGAGAGCCCAAATACTTGCTTGACAATACAGTTCCTTGGTACCGTTCATCCACCTGAAACAGTTTAATTTTTTATTACACTACAATAATTTTTTAAGGCAGATAGGTTGCCAGCTCTATATATAAGTTAGCTATAACATGTTTTCAATCACGGCAGTATATATGGTGTACCAAGCTGCAATGATGAGGCGTAAAACGCCGAAACATGCATGCATGTCTGGTTTTGGAACTTGGGTCGGAGTTCCAACCAAATTTCATGGTTTTTTTTATTGGAGGGGGGGGGGGTCCCTACTCCTATACTAACAAACCCAGACATAATTTCCTAGACACTCAACTATTTCCAAATGAGGGGATAGAAATGATGTCTGGGTTCACCAAGTGCACCCCTAAGTGATTATCTATTTTTATACCATGCATTGTAATATGTCTTAACACTTACCAGTTTAATATTAACAAGACGCCCACTCAGGCGTTCACTCCGGGTACAGGGCCTTAACTAACGGCGCAAGGCTACTTTAACGTACTATGCTTATATACGGCAATGAAGGTATCTTTAATGTATGATATTCAGTAGCATATTAAAGTTGGAAAAGTGGGAGAACTACAGCGTACCACTTGACCGGGTGACTAAAAACATATGCAATGATCATAATATTTTTTTACATAAAAATAAAAGGACATTGTGACACTGATTATCTCTAATAAAAGCTATCTAGTTCTTTATAAAAAGTTCTATTTAAAACATGCGTAGGAGTGTTTTTTCGAGTCGTATATAATAAGTCGGAGGCCGTATTTTACAAATATTTTATGTGTTTTTTTTATTGTCGAGGGTAGAAATTCGAGGGTGAAAAGCTTGAGGGTACATTTTAATAATTTGACAAAATAATAATTTAAGTTCGTGTTCACTTTTAATTTTTAGCTCTTATTTTTATATGCAATTATTAATTTTTTATATGCGATTACTTTTTATATGACAAAATATTACTACATAAAAATAGACATGCCGATCAAAAACTACAGTCGAGATAGTTTCAAACGGCGTGGTGCACTATCTGCGTTATCTCGGATTGCATGCATGTCGCAAATTATTGTAATAGTCTATTCGCTATATGGTCTATTGAATCAGAGTAATCAGGACTTGTTTACACCTTTCCATTGCCATACGCCTTTTCCGGGTTCGCGACGCCATCTTCAAAGTATTGTTTTCGCTATTGTGCTTGCCCACTTGCAAATTTATCTATAGGGAATGCCCACAAATTTCTACCCTCGACAATAAAAACCATAAAATATTTTAGAAATACGACCCCGGACTTTTTGTATCTGCGAAGCAGATATATATATTGCCATCGTGCGCGTGCCGGAAATTTGTAAGCGTGCTCATAGCCAATCTCGTACCCAGAGCCATCGTTGAGTGGCTCTGGCCACACGGGATTGAAAAACGATCCTGATTGGTCGATCCATAAGCTATTGGACCCATACCCCCTGTGGCGTTCATGAGCGCGGCCAATATGAGTGAATACGATATATTTGCTAATACTGAAAATTTGCTTATTTCGACGAATTTTTTGTTGCTTTTCGTCCGAAAAAGTGGTGAAGGGATTAAGGAGTTGATTTATGCATACATGAATTCATTTGGGCAAAATAACAGGCTTCGTTATGGTAATAATTCATACTCTTGGTTCACTCTGAGTGAGTATTTATTTATTTATTTTTTTATTTATTCATTTTGTCACACACATTAAAGATATACATTTACGTAGAGATAACAATAACAATAACTAGAG